TAAGTTAACACTGTTGTGCAGGCATCACCACGACCCATCTCCTGAACTTTTCTTAGCTTCCCTGACAGAAACTCTATCTCAGTTAAACACAACTGCCACACTGCCCCCTCCCCACACCCACCGTTTTACTTTCTGCCTCTCTGAATTTGACAACTCCAGGTGGCTCATGTAAGTGGAATCGTACAGTATTTGTCATTTTGTGTCTGGCTTATTTCACTTAGCACAGTGTAAGCAAGGCTCATCTACGTTGTAGCTCGTGTCTGAATTTCCTTTTTTAAGGTCGAATGATATCCTATTGCATGTATATACCACATTCTGTTTATCCATTCATGTGTTGATGGAGATTTGGGTTCTGTCTTTTGGCTGTTGTGAATAACGCTGCTGTGCACATGACTGTGCGAGCACATGTATCTGTTTGGGTGCCTGTTTTTAATTTTCATGGGTATGTACCCAGAAGTATATAGTGGAATTGCTGGGTCATATAGTAACTGTGTGTTTAACTTTGAGAAACTGCCAAATTGTTTCTCCCAGTGACTACAACATTTTACATTTCCACCAGCAGTGCACAAGGGTTCTAGTTTCTCCACATGGGAAGCACAGTTAAATGTGCTCAGTATAAACCAGCTCGACCAGAGCCCAGCTTTCACACGAGGGCAGTAGACTGGGCCCAGATAATGCCTTAAAGGCCAAGCTGTGGCACTGGTACTTTCTTCCAAGGCTATGGGAGGCTGGTAGGGGATTTGAGCCAGGGGAAAAGCAGGACTGGAGTGGAACTACAGGCAGGTGAAGGGCCAAAGGACATGTGCAGGATGGATTGGGCCCTGGAGGCTGGGACGTGGGGTGGCAGATGACTGCCGTTATGCAGCTGGGAGACCAAGGCTCCGTACAGAAAGGTGGCAGAGGCGGGGATGAATGTGGAGACTTGAGAATGAGCGTAGATGGCTGGGGCTCTTGAGGATGAAGATGATGTTCTGCAGGCAGGAGGTTTGAGGAGAGACCAATGTGGGCTCAGCACTGCAGCATGTCACAACCTGTGCACACACATGTTGAGTGAGTGAGGATTGAGAACGTGCGCATGAGGACTGCCACCTTCCCTGCCCTTTGGCGTCATGATTCCAAGGTCCCATGTTGAAGGCAGGGTGTAGACGGGGCCTGTCCTGGTTAGCTCCTTGCCAGCTGAAAGAGTAGACATTTGCAGCAGACTAGGAGCTGTACCTCGGATATGTGGAAATGTCCCCACCTCACTGGGTGTCCTAGAGCCTGGCCCCTTGAATAAGATAAGACAGGCATTGGGGTGCTTGCACAGGGAGCCAAAACACGAAACTGGAAGTGAGCTTAGCACCTATGGAGGGAAGGAAGTGCCAGGTAGGGCACCTAAACAAAGATCTAAGCTAGCTGCAAAGTTCTCATCCTGATCTTTAATTTGCATAATGTGTAAAATGATACTATCCTATAGAATATTCCAGGGAAGGCTTTTGGGGGGCTAATTTGCTTTGTATTTGCCATTAGCGCATGCCAGCCTATTGGCTCCAAAACCATTCCCGCCTCAGAAAGTTCTGCCCCCCTTTCTCAGTTCCTTTGTGTTTCCACCCCTGAAGATTTCCAGGAGGCAAAAGGATTCTTGTAGGTGTAGTCTTCTGTGTTAAAAGAAGATGAACTGAGAGTGTTCTCTGTGTGCAGGAGTGGGACTGTGTATGTGTGGGCGTGGTGGATGGATGGCTGGGTGTGGGTTTGGTGGACGTAGGTTGCAAGAGAGTTTAAAATAGCCTATATTTAAAACAGATGAAATTAAGGGATCTAACTTCAGATTCATAAGACATAATTAAAATAATTAGACAGTATGGAGAAACATGCCAAAGAGTTCAGGTAATGACTGTTTCAGGGCATAGTATACGGGAGACAGTGAGAAAGCAGCTGAAATTATGGGGTGCCAAGTTAGCCTGGGCACTACAACCTTCCTGACCTGGAACCCCCAGCCCCATTGTGCACATGGGGATCCCTGTCACACTGATGGAGCAGGCACCACAATGGCAGCTACTGTTATATGGTCACAGGCATCATTATTCATAGGAATTATTGCATTCTCTGGGTGCTTTATAAACAGATGTCCATGGCTTAAGACAGGATTAAGTATACTGCTACCTGTATTTTCAGCTGTGTGGATTTAGATCTTAAAAAGTTAATGATTCTTATCCCAGTGCAGAGAAAGAAAATGACTCAGTTGAAAAAACGGTCCCCCCGCCACGTACATTTTTATCTGCATGTTCAACTGTCAGCCGCCTTTTGTGTGTTTATTGCTGTGTGAAGGTACGTGGCTGACAGTGAATGACAGAAACTTGACAAGACGCAGGCACCAGCCCAGCAGGCCCATGTCAGTGATGCAGACATGCCCTCTGTGACTGAACATGACTCCTGTGTGCCTCAGCCCGAGCTCATGTAGGCCCTGGGAGTCAGTGGCTTACCCAGCTGCTCTAGACCACGTTGGAGGTAGGAAAGAGCCTGTTTCCCCAGCGGGTACTACTTGCCTGAAAGAATTAACAGACTTTGAAGGGAACCACTTAACGTCTTCAAAGAAGTCTTTTGAGCTTCCTAGGAAATGAACCTTCTTTCTTCCATGACTGGCCCTGCAGGGACTCTGAATTCTATTCCAGTGCAAGCTCAGCAGAACTCTCTCAGCTGCCCTGATTTTGAGGGCAGTGGAGCAGTATGCCTTGTTACCCAAAGGATCAGTGAGGGTTTCCAAAGAGAACTTAGTCCTTGTAACTGTGTGCCTGGGTCCTTTGATCACCTGTGCTCACACCAGTGGATTGTGCATTTCAGATCTTCAGGGGGTGGCTAGGAGAAAGGAGGCTACCCGGAAACTTCCCAGCACAGACTCCCCTCGGTGGTACCTTGAGGAGATCCAGTCTTTGAACAAGATCAAAGAGGCTGTAAAGCCCGGGCCGTAGGATGAAAAGCTCCCATAAGGCAAGGAACAGAGAAGAGAACTTGGCAGAGTTTGTGAAGAAAACGTGTAGTTCCCACAAAAGAAGAGAAGGGGGAAGGAAGAAAGAAACGTGGTTTGTGAGAACTTGAAAAACTGTAACCAACCACAGGCAGACATTGTCCCTGGGGATTTATTCTGTAGCTTCTCAAGACTGGAAGGCACATCCTCAGCTGGCGTGGGTATTAAGAGAAAGAAGGAGACATGGCAGAGAAAACATGGTAAAGTAGTCCCCCTTATCCATGGGGGATACGTTCTGAGACCCCCAGTGGATGCTCAAACCACAGAGAGTACCAAACCCATACAAGTATATACCATGATTTTTCCTACACATACATACATGCATACCTATGATAGAGTTTAATTAATCAGGAACAGTAAGATGACCATAATGACTAATAATAAAGTAAAGCAATTATAACAATATACTATAATGAAAGTTATGTGAATGTAGTCTCTCTCTCACACTCAAAATATCTCGTTGTCCTTATACTGCAGGTAACTGAATCTGTGGAAAGGGGAATCGTGGATAAGGGGAGACTCCTGTATAAATCAAAGATAAAAGGTTACCTGGTGATTTGTTGGATTTTACTGTTTTGTTTTTCTGACTGTAGAGAAAACACCCACAATACCAGTGATATTGGGAAAGGAACGGACCTCAGGTGTCAGGGAAATCGTTTGCTCGTTAGATAGGGAAATTCTGTCATATAAGCCCTCGGGAGGCTCATCCTGAGAGTTGAGCTGAGATGCTGAGTTCACATCTTCAACCTGACAGGTGACACTCCGTGGAGTTTCAGCAGCAGTGACACGGGGTAGAGCGCATCGTGAAGGGCACATAAATAGACTTCTCTCCTGCCTCCCCACCTTCTCACAAGACGGGGGTCGGGATGAAAGCTAACGTGTATTGAGGGCTTAGTTTTCTATGTGCTATGTAGTGTTCTAACCTCTTTACGTATTTTTGAGCATGTATTCCTCGCAGTAACTTGTAGGGAAAATGAAGCACAGAAAGGCTAAGTAATTTCCCAAAGTGAACCTGTGGGGCCAGCGTTTGAACCCGGGAGTCTGGCCATGCTGCTTAGAGGTTGGAAGGAAGAAATGAAACTGAATATGGTGTGTGCCCACCACCGTACTGGGTACTTTGTTATCTGTTTTAATGCTTCCAGAAGCTTCCAGGGGCCCACATAACCCAGGTGACTGGCCCTGAGCTACTCCTGGTGCCCCAAATAGATCACTGAGGTCAGTTCATCTGAAATGGCTACAATTTCTAAAAGATCATTTTAGCATACACTTTTTTCCCCCAATTTGTTTTTTATTGAAGCATAATTGATTATACATATTTGTGGGATACAAAGTTGACTATCAATAGTAGTGTAAGTAACACACACTTTTTAATTCAGTAAAATAAGAATTTTAATAGCCTCCTAATCATATTGCAGAGAATTTGAATAATAGCAGAAAAGAAAAAACAAGTCATCACATCATAGCTAGTCTTATTTTGGCATATTTCCTAACAGTCCTTTTTTTAAATGCTCAGTACAGGATAAACACAGTTTTGTATCCAACATTACAAGTTTTTTTTCCATGTTTTTATTAAGTCTTCATAACCGAGATTTTCAAATTGATGGTATTTTGATTTGTTTTGGTATTTTCAATAGGGAACATTTTGAGTTTTCTAGTAACTGTTACATGTAGCGATTTAATCTTAATTTTTTAAAAGGCATTTTGTGGTAGATCTCAGTTACGAAACACTCAGCAGCCAGGGTTAATTAAAAACTCTCTCTCCTTGTTTTTCTGGTAACAGGGATCTACCGAACAGAAAAGGATAAAGGCACTTTGTATGAGCTCACCTTCAAAGGAGACCACAAACACGAGTTCAAACGACTTGTCTTGTTTCGACCGTTTGGCCCTATCATGAAAGTGAAAAAAGAAAAACTCAACATGGCCAACACGCTTATCAACGTTATCGTGCCACTAGCAAAGAGGGTGGACAAGTTTCGGCAGTTCATGCAGAATTTCAGGTTGGTTGGTTTGCACGTGTTTATCTTCCTGGGTGTGTGTCCGAATACTGATATTTTCTATCATCTCCTTCATTTCCCTTTCCGAGTACAAAGGCCTTTTTCTCTTGTTGTTCAACTCTGTTTCCTTCACATAAAGTTTATCATGATATTTGCCTTTCCTTAACGCAATCAGAAAACTCTCGGATAAGCAGATTTACTGTCAGAAGTGAAAGCTCAGCAGGACTGGGTTTTCATCGGGATCTGCAAACATGACCTCATGCCCATTGTGTTCAGTTCTGACTTGAGTTTGGGCTCAGGTTTGGCAAGCGAGTGGCGTTGCAAGCCTGGAGGAGTGGGGAGGAGCCGGCGCTGACCATGAACTTGTGCTGCAGCATGCTTCTCTGCTCAGCTGCGGCCGGCCTCATCCGCTCTCCTGCTCTAGCAGCAGCTGCAATGGGTTGGATCAGAATCTGTTTTTTACTCTAACCTACATCTCCCCAGAGATTAAATTTAGAACTCTGCCAAGAAAATTCAGGCACTCATTTTTGTAGCCACTCGGTAAGACTAAGTGGAGTTTTACTTTTCAGATGCAGTAATGTGGCTTCCATGTGTCTTTAAGACCTGCATTGTAGCAATGCTGTGTCTGATAAACTCTTATGGCTAACATTCCCATATTGGCTGAGGTCAACCAGTTAACTTATTTAGCCAACTTATTTTGAAGATAGAAAGTCATATTATCTAATTATAAATCTTGGAATATAAAGCTTACTTTTAATCTTTTATCATTAAATTCACGCTATTAAAAGGCAGTAACGATCAGTACAAGGGTGGGGTTGATACCTCTCAAAATTCTGGTTCTGAGCACAGTCCATTTTTTTTTTAATTTAAAGGGTAACCCCTTTATAATTAAGTTTTGAAATACCAGAATCAAATAGTCTTAGAAGAGATCTTTGAAGTAATCTGGTCTAATCCTGCCTTAATTCAGAATCCCTCTGTATCATCCCCTGACATATGCCATGGTGACACATGTGTACCAGGTAACTATCTGCCTCACAGGTCAGGCTGCTGCTTTGTTGACCAGCTCTAGACAGAAAGCTGTCTATTGTTTGGATGAACTCTGCCTCCCTGTCATTTCTGCCCAGTGGGTCTAGTTCTAGCCTCTAGAGAAGAGACTGAACAAACCCATTTCCTCTTAAACATCATAACCTTTCACGTGTTTGAAGACAGCTCCCACAGCTCCCCCTTGCCTTTCCTGCAGGTGTAGCAGCTCGCATTTCCCCAAGCTTTTTTCATATTCCCTACTTCTTTAACTTTTCATTAGCTGGAGCTCTGCTTTAGCTATGATATAATCCAAAGTAGGTGGGCTGATCTGTTCTTCTGTTCCCAGCTTGTAGAATACACCTTTGTGTACAGTTGTTTACCTGTTTGCAGTGTCCCTCTGGCTCCAGTACTGAATTGAGTATTTATGTTGTTTGGGCTTTTTTCAACATTTCTTTGGTGTTTCTCTCTGTATATCTCTCCTCTTTGGAAGAACAAAGTACCACTGGTTGATTGAACAGTACACCCGGAGAATGAATGAACACGCACACAGTGAGCAGTAGACATTAAGTCACATCATTACTCTCAGCAGCTGTGTCCCCAGGTCTAGGACTAGGTGATGGCAAGTTCCTTTGGATGGGAAGCTGCCTATAACTTGCCAGATCAAGGATCCTGAGCTGTGATTCATCACAAAAGCTAGTCATGGAATGTGTTGAGCTTGGTAAGGTGGTGCTTAGGGTAAAGGAATGTCTGTCTGCTCAGTGTAGGACTCAGAGGGCCTGGAATAGCAGGATTCTCTTACATATACATATATATATGTATTTTATTATTTATACATATTTATGGGGTGCAGAGTTGACTATCAGTATTTGTGGACAGTATGTGATGATCAAATCAATATTATTAGTACATGCATCATTACAAACCGTAATTACTTTTTGTGTCCCTTACTCAATTACTCCCTATCCCCCTCCACCTTTCCCACCTCTAGTAACTATAGGTCTGTTCTCTCCTTCTGAAAGATCAACTTTTTATTATGGTCTTTCGTTCTTTGTTTCTTAGCTCCCACTTATGAGTGAGGACATGAGGTATTTCTCTTGCGTATGTTTGACCAGCTATTTCCTTAATGTCACGAGAATTTTAACTATGTTAATGTCATGAGAATTGTAATAATAGGAATAAAACAAAAAGAGAGGTATATTGAGAAAAGTAAAATTAGGATATACAAGTCTCCAAAATGGAGATGGTGAAATAAAGTGTAATCCTGTTAATGTTTACAAAAAACACAGAAGTCCTAAGGCATTTTTTTTCTTGATCTTCACTGTGCAGATATCCATTGCTGCATGTGTTAGGAAGGGAGGGGTGGAGAAGGACTTGTTCCTTGGACAGGATGCTTTGAGAGCTTATTATGTGTGCCAGGCACTCTTTCCAGATGCCCGGGATAAGAAGACAGATTTGAGGTGCAGTACCTACCTTCATGGAAAGTAGAATCTACAAAACCACATGCCACAACAGAGACATAGACAAGGGACAGAGGGACACAAAAAGAGACTCCTCAGAGCAGAGGACATTTGAGCAGAGGGCTAACTGGGGAGTTTACTCTGTAGCCAGGAGTTTCTGAGTGTGTTGAGGTCTCTGAAACAATGGGCTGTGAGAGGGTAAATACCTGAGGGTACTTAATTCTCTATAAAAAGTAGTAAAGGTGACATTTCCAGTCAGCAAAGAAGGGATTATTCAGAGCATGGTGTTAGGCCAACCAACCAAACATAAAAAATTTAATTCTTATTTCACACCCAAAACCAAAGTAAACTCCAGTCAATTAAATATTTAAATGCAACAAATATGACCATAAAATTACTGGGAGAAAATATAAGGGTCCGTTTATTAAATAATCGAAGTTGTCTTCTTTATAAAGTTCTTTTCATCCCAAGATTGGAAACTGTTAACTGTAGTTGACACTGAAGATGACCCTATGAGTAACTTTTATTTTCTTTTTCTCTGTTTTGTAAATTTCTGTATATAGTAATTACCTTATGTTTTATATTTAGTTTAAAAATTCAATGAAAGATTGTTTTTGGCTTTTACAATTTAAACATGACTTTTTACTTTGTGAAAGTGATACTTGGCTATTATAAGATGTTTAAGCAATATAGAACAGTACAGGGAATAAATTATTTAAAAAATCATTCCAGGTTCCAATTCCCAGAATTATCCATTATTAATATCAGTTGAATACCATTTCAGGCATACTTCTTTGCATATAGGCAGATAAAAGAATAGTTCTCTATTTAGCAATAATTTTATGCAACATGAGATATGTTATGCATTCTATTTTAAATTAAAGAACTAAATCTTACATTTTTTTAATTTATAGAAGAGAATCTGAAGTATAACAAAAGAAATTACTATGGGCCGGCCCGTGGCTCACTCGGTAGAGTGCGGTGCTGATAACACCAAGGCCCCGGG